GGGGGGGCGAGGGGCAGGGGCGGGGCAGGGGGGGTTTCCAGCCTGTGCTCACCCCCTTTCCTGGGAGGGAAGGTGTGGAGGGCAGAGGCACAGGCAGTGAGCAAAGAGCCCCACCAGCCAGCCTTCCTGCTCCCCCTGGCCGGCCTGTTGGGGGACCCACGTAGCCTTTGCAGACTCTCACACAGCCTGATCCCCAGGGCTGCTTCGTCCTGTCTCTGCTCCCTCTCCCACCAGGGCAGGTGCCTCGGGAGGTGGCGGGGGTTCAGGGCCGTGGGCAGCCCTGTAATTTTCCCGGTGAGACCCAGGAAGAGGTCAGCACTGTTGATTTCTGGCCTGTGTGTCCACCTACAGTTCAAGGAGGAGGGGGCCAGACGCTGCTCAGGCCCGGGTGGAGGTGGCCTTGGGCGTGGGTGAGAGGCTAACGAGGCCCTGGGAGGATGCGGGTCAAAGAGGGCCTGGCGAGGGTGTGGCCGCGCCAGGGTCCTGAGGCTGTGGCCCAGGCGGGGGCGTTGGGGGAGGGGGCGGTCCACCTCGCCCGGGAACCCTTTGTGCGCCCACCACAGAGTGCCGCCTCTCCCGGGCAACGGTGACTCACAAAGCCGGCCCACGCAGGGCAGAGGACGCCTCCCCTGGGCCCCGGTGGGCCCAGGACATAAAGGCCACGAGGGCCAAGTCCTGAGGAGGCATGTCCTGAGGTGGCCAGGTGCGCACACGTGTGCGCGCGCGCGCGCGCGGGGCCCTGCCACCGCCCTCCGGGCCGGACCTAGATTTCCCACTGCAAGCGCGACCCGGCCCGGCGACTGGGCCTTAGGGCTTTCTGTCGGGGCCCAGCGCCTAGGCGCCCATGTGTGTGGTCTGCTTCGTGAAGGCACTGGTGCACTTATTCAAGATCTACCTGACAGCAAACTACACCTACAACTTCCGCGGCTGGCCTGTGGACTTCCGCTGGGATGACGTGCGCGCCGCCGCCGCCAGGGGCCACAGCGGTCACTGGGGGACTGACGTGCCCGGCGGCCGCGGCGGGCATGTGGCTGCTGCGGGCGCGGCGCTGGGCGAAGACGAGCAGGGGCGGGGCGCGCAGCCAGGCGCAGTGCCTCCTGCAGCAGATCCGTCAGCTGCCCGGCCAGCTCGCCAGCTACGTGAGGGCCTACTCAGTGGACCGCTGGCTCGTGTCCCCTGGCTCCATGTTCCAGATGACGCGCGCGCTGCTGCCGCTGCTGCGGCAGGGCCAGGAGTGCCTGGTGGACCGCTACCGCGGCCGGCGCGCCAAGCTGGTGGCCTGTGACGGCAACGAGATCGACACCATGTTCATGGACCGCCGCCAGCGCCTGGGCAGTCATGGCCGCGGCCTGCGCCTCGTCATCTGCTAGGAGGGCAACGCCGGCTTCTATGAGATGGGCTGTCTGTCGGCGCCGCTGGAGGCCAGCTATTCGGTGTTGGGCTGGAACCACCCGGGCTTCGGGGGCAGCACGGGCGCGCCGTTCCCTCAGCATGACGCCGACGCAAACACCATGGACGTGGTGGTCAAGTACGCGCTGCACCGCCTGCACTTCCCGCCCGCGCACGCGGTGGTCTACGGCTGGTCCATAGGCAGCTTCACGGCCTCGTGGGCCACCATGACGTACCCGGAGCTGGGCGCGCTGGTGCTCGATGCCACCTTCGACGACCTCGTGCCGCTGGCGCTGAAGGTCATGCCCCCCCAGCTGGAGGGGCTGGTGGTGCGCACGGTGCGCGAGCACTTCAACCTTTACGTGGCCGAGCACTTGTGTCGCTACCCCGGCCAGTGCTGCTGCTCCGGCGCACGCCGGACGACGTGGTCAGCACCTCGGGACCCCTGCGCCCCCTGCCGTCGGGCGACGTGGAGGGCCCCCGCGGCAACGAGCTGCTCCTGCGCCTGCTGCAGCACCGCTACCCCGCCGTGATGGCGCGCGAGGGCCTTACTGTCGTGACCCGATGGCTGCGTGCCGGCAGCCTGGCTCAGGAGGCCGCCTTCTACGCGCGCTACCGCGTGGACGACGACTGGTGCCTAGCCCTGCTGCGCTCCTACGGCGCGCGCTGCGAGCACCGGCAGGAGGACGAGGAGGCCTGGGGCCCCGCACGGGCTCGCTTTCCCCTGGCTAGTGGGCCAGGGCCTGAGCCGGCGGCGGCGCTGGCAGCTCGCGCTGTTCCTGGCTCGCCAGCACCTCAAGAACGTGGAGGCGACCCACTGCAGTCCGCTGGAAACTGAGGACTTACAGTTGCCCTGGAGGCTGTAGACCGTGCTTCTGCGTGTCCCTTCTCCCACCCCCCACCCCAAACCAGTAAAGCTGGCCCTGCCTGGGATTCCCACCTTGTGTCTGGGGAGGGTGGGGCAGTGCATAGGGACCTGGCACTCTCCCTCACTGGGGCAGCCCCTTTCCTCCTCTCTCTTCCTCTCTCCAACATTTGTGGATGGTCCCAGTCTGCTCCCAGCTCCTAAGGGGAATGCAAAGATTAACCTGACCCAGTTTATGGCAACACTGTGTGATGGGTGCCTCGATCACCTAGAAAGGATGGTGTGAACATGGGCTGTGGGACACCAGGAGGCGTCCTTCACCTGGCCTGGGTTACAGGATGACTCTGGGAAAGATGAGTGTTGAAGGGTCTGTGCAAGTCGCCTCTAACTATGAAAGAACACTGGCTTTGGAAGGGCTGTAAAAGTCTTAGCAGCGGGACCTCCCCAGGAGTGCGATGCTGCTGCTTCATAGGGTTCCCCCCCGCCCCATTCCTGGCTTCTACAGGATGGGGTTCACCGTGGAACCACAGACTCAGAGTAAGTGGCAGGCAGTCCAGGTGGGACTACAGACACACCTGCACTGACCACTCATTGCTTTGTTCCTGGCTCAGGGGTGCCATACAGAATGAGAGACAAGCCCTCTGCCCACCACCATCTGTAATGCAGTCGCATCCTTACCACCTGCCCTTAACTGTATGAAGCAGGGACTACTGGCTGTCCTCAACCCCTGGGGACAGGGGCTGGCCAGTGTGGTTCCAGCTAGAAACTCTGGAAAAGCTGAAAGAAGGCAAATGGGGCAGGCATATAATTGATGGCACCAGAGCAGAACCTGGCCTGGATGCACCTGGGCCAGTGCAAGCAGAAGCAGGTACTTAAGGTGACCAGGTACTTAAGGTACCAGGAAGACCTATGGGGAGAAGGTGAGCTTTGAGCTGAGACAGTAAGAGGAGTTAGCCAGGTGAAGGAATGGGTTTCCTTCCCAGGGATCAGTACATGCTGGGTGGCTTGGCTGTTAGGGGGAATGCTGTCCAGAAAGGTCAGATCCTCAAGGGTTTGAATACCACTAAAGCAGCGGTCCCCAACCTTTTTGGCACCAGGGACTGGTTCCGTGGAAGACAACTTTTCCACGGACAGCGGGGAGGGAAAGGTTCAGGAGGTAATGCCAGCGGTGGGGAGCAGATGAGATGAAGCTTCGCTCACTTGCCCGCCGCTCACCTCCTGCTGTGCAGCCCGGCCCCTGCACTAACGGATTGCTTGCAGAGGCACTTAGTAGCCGAGGAAGGGTAGCCGTGGGACTTGTTTTAGCGGGACCGGGTTGCCTAATGGCTACACACCTCTCCTTTGACAAGTTTGGCAAACCCTTCTCCGGAGTCTGCAGGAAGCAACTAGCTGAGCGATGGGCAAGTAACTCTGGACTCAGTTTTCTCATCTGTAAAGTGGGGAGGGCCCCATCTGTCTCACCGGGTTGCTGTGAAAAGGAAGTGAGAGAACACGGGGTCGAAGGGCGCCTCCAGCCAGAAGAGAGCAACTCGTGGTAGCGCCTTTTTCTGCGCAACCCCCATACAACCTTAAAATCCCTACAAAAAGGACAGACCCAAAAAGAAAAGGAGCCCCAAAGTCAGTGGGTCAGGCCTCGGAGGGATCGCAAGCGGCCTGAGTCTGACCCGCCGAAGTACGTGAGCCGTGGCGCTCGCAGGCAGGGGCAAACACCTTGGAGACGTCCAAGAGGCCCACCTCCGGGATCCCGTAGCGCCATGTTGCACGGTCCTCCCAGTTCCCACCTTACCCCGTGCACCTCAAGACCGTTCTACCTGTGCTTCTCGCTGGTGTACCGGCCTCCCTTTCCGGCTTCGTCCGCAGCCTCGGCCAATCATATTGAAGCTGATTAACCGGGACTAGGCCAAAACACTCCCTCATTGGGCACCGCTCGTGGGGGCGGAGCGCGCGTCAAAGCGGAAGTGGGTCGTCTCGCTGTTGATCACGTAATGCCGCGGCGCCTGAGGCGATTCAGCTGGCTGGTGCGTAAGCGGCGAGCGACACCTGGTGCGGCCCGCTCGGTTCCCACTGCGCCCGCGAGCCCGGCTTCGACGCCAGCTGCGGCCCGGCCGCCGCCTAAACATGGACTCCGCCGGCCAAGGTACCCGCGGGCCCGGTGCCGCGTGGCGGCCTTTGGGCCCCTCCGCCTGCGCCCGCCCGTCCCGCGGCACCTCTTCCTCTCCCAGGCGCGCGGCCTCGAAGCTCCTGGCGGGTGTTCCGCCCCCGCTGGGATCGCTCTGAGCACTGGTTCCCCAGCGCCCTCCCCTCGCCCCAGAGTCTTGGGTTTCGTCACTCCGGGTAGCTCCCACTCTGCCCCCGCCCGACTCTTGCCCGGCGGGCCGCCCTCAGTCCCTGCGCAGGGCCCTCGGGGACACCCCATCCGGCCCTGGATGCGGGCCGAGGTGCCGTGCGCGGCGCCCGGGGAGGGGAGGGGAGGCGACCCCGTCCTCGCGTTGGGCGCAGCGCCCCTTGGGTGGCAACGCAGCTCGGAGCCCAGCCTACTGCAGAGTTGTCTGGAGGGGGAAGGGTGCAGTGAGTCAGGGGCACACCCAGCATACCAGGCCTGTTTCCGCAACTGACATCCCAGACTAGATTGAGGTGGCCGCTGCGGGGTGTGGAGCAGGCCCAGAAGCTTAAGATCTTGAGGAGGTGGTACGAGTCTGTCTTCCATCCTGGGGCTCTAGAGGGAGTGCTAATACTACGTTGATGTAACTACACTGGATGATTTCAGGGTGCTTTTCTATCGTTTGATCTGTATCATCATATTAATTAAACATTAGAATTCGTCACAAGCGTGGGGTTTCGGTCATGAGAACGACAGAAAACATTTACTGAGCACCTACTATGTGCCAGACACCATTCCAAGCCTGTTTCTCAGACCTTTTTCCATATTCGGAATAACCTTTTTATAATGGTCCAAAAAAACCCCATTTTGCAGATGATTATACAGGCTGAGCTGAGATTCACCCAGGTGAGGGGCTCTGGCCCCCTAGTGCTGCCTACTGCACCAGCCCGTGCTAATTCTCTCTGTAGGTCCTTTGGTAAGGACCTTGGTCACCCCTAAGTCAGGGTGTGAATAGCATCTGCCTGCAGCGGGGTACTGAGCTTGGTCTCACCCAGTGATTGGGCAGTGCACAGCATGTTTGGTGAGTGCACAGTTTTATCTGGGGGTGATTTCCATGGGATCCAGTTTTAGCTTTATAAGCAGACAGTGGGCCTTTATCTGTTTTTTAAGAATAGAAAAGTTGTAGGGATCTTAAGGCACTTACTGAATTTGAGTAGGTTCAACACAGCAGGTACAAACGATGAAGTAAAACCACGTAGATTGATCTTAGTTAAATATTGAAATCTGTTGATTAAAAAGAAAAGCTTCATTTAGTGAACATCTCTAGAGCACCACAGAAGTGCATGGCTCCAGCTGTGGGACATGTGAAGGGAATGACATGGCCAGCTAAACAGAGTGTCTTTGGTTTTAAGGGCATTTCGCCTATTTTTAGCAGATTCTAGGGTTTCTAGGGTAGACAAACGTACCTGCAGTTAAAGACATTTTTACTGTTTTGCAACCTTTGTGCCTTTAATTTACTTTTCTTTTTTTTTTTGGCCATGCCACGCTTGGCTTGTGGGATCTTAGTTCCCTGACCAGGGATTGAACGCGGGCACTCGGCAGTGAAGGCGCAGAGTCCTAACCACTGACCATCAGGGAATTCTCTTTAATTTACTTTTAAATGTGCCAAACACCATACAGAGCCCGTCTCTTCACAGAATGTGCTGATCAAAAGGGAAGGTGTTTTCAAAGCTGATTGTATAATGTACTAAACAACGATGGCCTTGCGTTTGGAATTGGAAAGAACTGACGTAGACCTGTTTTTCTTGTAAACCTCTAGTGCATACAGGAAAGTGCGTTTAACGTGGAGAACAAACGTGACGCAGGGGTTCGAACTTGGTCTGGGTATAGCAGAGGTGTGAGGAGGCAGTGCCCTCTGCACACCGCCACAGCCTTCTTGCTGTGGGGTGAGGGTCGAGGATGAACTGAACGGATTTTGTTTTGCTGACTCCCCACAGGAGCTGGATGACTGTGTTCCTTGTGTGTAATCTTAGCCTGCGCCCTGGCGGAGCAGCTGATTGGAAAGTGGTGCTGGTTGTGTTTACAGCTGTATTAAGTTCCTTCACGCTAAAAAATGGAAGAGCTATTAGATCCAGCGGCTTTGTTTTTAACAAAGGTTTCCTGTCTGTGAAGATAGCATTCTTACAGGAGGAACCAGATTTAGGGAGTGGCTGCCTTGTGCCAGCATTTCTAGAACCTGAAGAAGCAACTTGGGTGGCCTGAGATATGGCTGCTCCCAGTCTGGTGGCCAAAACCATCTTTGCAGAAACTTTCAGAGAAGAGGCATTGTCTCCACGGGTCCCCTGCCCCTTTCCCCTAAACCTGCCCTTGCACCCTTGCTTTCTCCCTCGGTGGAAACCTCTGTCCTCTATTCCTCTGTGACTTCTTATTTGATGCTCTCTGACCGCATTTTGTCTCTGGCAGATATCAACCTGAATTCTCCTAACAAAGGTCTGCTCTCCGACTCCATGACGGATGTCCCTGTCGACACAGCGGTGGCCGCCCAGGCTCCTGCTGTTGAGGGTCTGACAGATGCCGAGGCGGAGGAGCTCAGGGCTGAGCTTGCAAAGGTGTTGTGTCATGGCTGTCCATCCGGGGGTGACTGTGAGGCCCTCCCAGCCTAATGAGGGGCCAGAGTGCTGGCTGTGCTCTGGAGAAATTGCCCTGGGAGATTGTCCCTGGAGCCCCGCAGAAACTGCCCTCTGCAGCCCTTGGTTGGCGTGTGTCTGGCACCTTGTAGGTGCTCCATGAGGAGAATGTCCACATGGGGCAGCTGCTCTGAGCACACCATCTGCTGGGAGTTTCTCTTTTGGAATCAACACGACATTTTCAAGACCCCCATGGATATATCCGTCCCTGGATCTTCATTTTTCTTTTAAAAATACTTCTTCTGTAACTAGCGTTTCGTGTGATCTTTATAAAGTGAGAGCTCTTTAAGAGGAAATTGGAGTTAAGAACAGAAGAGTCTGCGTATAATTTTTATTCAGACTAACTGCCAAGGGTGTTTCTTTTTACGGTGTGATACAGAGTCTAATAGTGACTCACTTGAGATTCCAGGATCTGGGGAAATGAACTTGTTGGCATCAGTCAGGCAGAGGCTGGAGCACACTTGTTGCAGTTCTCCGCTCCGTCTTTGGAAACAAGCCTGTCCTGATACATCCCGGGTCCAGGCCTGGGTCTGAGCAGAGCTGGTCATGCGGACAGACGCAGCCCCAGGACCAGGTTTTAGACCACAGAGGAAGCTGCCCTTCCTGAATCGAACGGAGGTTAAAGGAGAGGCAGCAGGAAGTCCCAGGAGGCTTACGTTTTGCCTTTCATTTCAGGACGTGTTGGTTTAGAGAATGAAACCACAAGGGCTTTTTCAGAGGTGAATTGCAAAACAAAGAAGCTCTTGTGTCTCTTAAAAATTTCAGCTTCTTTGCTCGTGTCCACGCGCCTGTAAGCCCGTGTGCCCGAAGCACCACACGTGGAAAGTTCAAGTCACCGGGTGTCGCTGCTGGGGTGACTGGTAATAGCTTGGCCTTAGGTGATCCTGTAGTTTTGAATCGTTTCTGTTTCAATATTTTCTAAAGCAGAATCTAGTGATATATAGGGCTTTAGGCTGTTGTTAGTGCCTTAATCCAAACAGTCATTTTTTTAAGAAAGGGACTTTTTTTTAGAGTAGCTGTTCACATAGGAGCAGGAAGGAGCAGGAAGTATTGAGAATCTAAAGTAGAAAGGCTCTAAAGGATGCTCCTCTCTGTAGTTCACTCTTTGTTTTAAGACATGAGAAGGTTCTGGTCGTTAAAGTCAAGATTTTTTTCTGTTGCCCAACTCAGATTACTTTAAGCAGAAGAGAGAATTTTCTTTGGGCTTCTGTAAGTGGCTTTTGCCGAGGCCGGCAGCTGACCTTGGAAACACAAATGTTGTCATAAGGGTTGTTTCTCTGTCACGTGGGTCTCTGGCCACCCATCCGTCTGTCAGCTCTGCTTCCTTCCCCCGTGTGGAATTCCCCCATGGTACAGATGGGGCCTGGCTGCCAACCCACCCACCTTCTGTTACTCACACCCAGGCCCGGAGCCTGGACAGAAAGGGGCTGCTCTCTTCTAACACCCGTTCCTAGTCCCAGGGAAGAGCTCCGACAGGCCTTGCTTGTCATCCATGGGTGGGCACTGTGGTCAGTAGCCCCGCCAGAACACTCGGCTTAGTGGGGCGGGACAGTCCTCCAGAAGTCGAGGTGCTGGTGCCACATACAGACAGAACCGATGCCTGCTGTAGACCATTCCTAAGACGAGCTGTGTTTCTGTAAATGGAAAATTCTTAGGTGATTCTGAGAAGGCCTTCACTGCGACATGTGTAAGGATGGTGGTCACTTCCTGCCATAGTGGTGGCTGAATGCTGGTAACCGTGCTTTTGCAGGTGGAGGAGGAAGTTGTCACTCTGCGCCAGGTGCTGGCAGCCAAGGAGAGGCACTGTGGAGAGCTGAAGAGGAGGCTGGGCCTTTCTACCTTGGAGGGCCTGAAGCAGAACCTGTCCAGGGGTTGGCATGATGTACAGGTGTCTAACGCGTGAGTGTCTGCTCTACCTGCTTGATGGGCGTTGAGTCCTGGGGGTGAGGGGCCTCCTGGGAGCGGGGTCAGCAAGTGTGCCGCTTGGAAGCAGCCAGCTGGGGGCCCTGACTCCTTGCCAGCAACTGAATTTGTATTTATTCAAAGAGTGTAGAGTGTACATGTGTTTTTGAAAGGCGGCAGACATGCTGTAGCTAGTTGTCCAGGCAGAAATCGACAAGAAGAACATGTTTCAGGGTCTAAATTGGAGAGAACACGGATTAGGTGCTTAATGAGGCTGGTTTTCCATGGTCCCCACAGGTCAGCGTCTGCCAACGTGAGTCTGTGGACATGAGTCCTTCTCATGAGCATGACGTGGTCAGGACCTCTGATCCAGACCCTCTGTGCCGCAGCTCTCTGAATTTGGGTACTGCGGCCGTGTGGCTCCTCTGAAACATATCCTCCAAGGTGGGGGGATGGGGGATGTCTCCCACTGTCTGAGAAGCCATGTTCCCACAGGAAGACCAAGTCAATTTTCATAAATCTGCCCTAGGAAAGGCCCAGTTCTCTGTCCTAGGAAACTGTAGGCCTTGAACCCCAAAGGGTGGCTGTGTTGGGGCCATGGGCTGTGCCCTCCTTGCTCCTCCCAGCTCTTCCCCAAGACACAGCTTCCATCGAGTGAGCAGGCCCTCCTTCGGCATGAGGAGAGTGGCTGGGCCTGCAGGTGCCTCACCGGGGCCTGCAGAGCCGGTGCTGAGCAGAAGCAGGCTGAGCGTGCAGTCTTCCTGCCAGGTGGTCCTTCTCTGTTTTCCCTGCAACGTCACTTGTCAGTTTGAAACCTGAGCTAAAGTAGCTTCTCTCAGTCGTTTACCGCAGACTTTCTGTTTTTAGCTACGTGAAAACCTCGGAGAAACTTGGAGAGTGGAATGAGAAAGTGACCCAGTCGGAACTGTGAGTGCCTCTGCTGCCGGCACCTCCATCCCCTCCCCTCCTGACACTTCTTTGAGGGACAGGGAGGCTGTGCACACTTGGCTCAGACCTAGCTGTGGTGTTTCTTGGCTATTTTATTTTTAATATAATTTTTCACCTCTCAAACACAAAAGAAAGTGTCCTTTAAATGCTTCTGGGAGAGGGTGCAGACGCTGAAGGAAGTTCACTCCGCCACCAGACCGCACTGAAAACTTGCCCCTGCCTGATGTGTGTCCCTCAGATCAGAGGCCGGAGCTGAGCTTGGGCCACGTCTCTGGCTGGTGATGAACCTTGGGCGCCATCTGGACTGATGCTGATGGCGCTTTTCCCCCTCCTTCCCCTGTAGACCTGGCTCCAGCTGTGGTGCTCTCAGGGTCTCTTGCACTTAGGGGTGGCTCTTGAGCTGGGGGCGCAGCGTGGGCCGTGCGGGTCAGATGTCGAAGGATCTCCTTTGGCCTGAGAAGCTCCAAGCTCTCAGAAAATAAGTAGAGCGCAGAACCCTCATGGGTAGCTCTGTGTGTCTGACAGAGCTCTGGTCCAGAAGGACTCCCGACGCGTCTTATTTGAGATCCTTAAACAAGATAGTAGCACTTCATTCGTGCTCCGTTCTGGTTATAGCCTTTGAACTGGGTGGTGCAGTATTTTATTTTATTATTATATTTTTATGTATGTATGTATGTATGTATTTATTTATTTATTTTAATGGGGTCTACTCTTCATTGTGGTGCACGGGCTTCTCGTTGCGGTGGCTTCTCTTGTTGTGGAGCACGGGCTCTAGGCGCGCAGGCTTCAGTAGTTGTGGCTCGTGGGCTCTAGAGCGCAGGCTCCGTAGTTGTGGCGCACGGGCTTAGTTGCTCCATGGCATGCGGGATCTTCCCGGACCAGGGCTCAAACCCGTGTCCCCTGCATTGGCAGGCGGATTCTTAATCACTGCGCCACCAGGGAAGCCCCTACAGTATTTTAAAATAGTCACCTTCTGGGATGTCTTGCTTAGAAGGAAGTGCTGTCGTGGTTGCCAGAAGGCATGGGCGGAAAGCCCTTCTGTGTTGGGCTGAAAGGAGGTGGTTGTGACCCAGCTTGTCTTGGAGGTGCCCGGAAGCCCAGGTTGGCCAGCTGTGTGCGTGGAGCCTTTGCAGCCTGGGGTCACGAGGGGAGCCGGGCACCAAGTGGGTCTGGTGGTTGGAGTTTCATGCTGTGTGCGTGGCTTGGTAGGGCAGCCCGTCGCTGCAGGCAGGCTCACAGTGCAGACCTGAGCTGAAAATAGCCTTGGGAGATCTTAGTGCTGTTCTCTAAAGCCAGTTGATGGGAAGCTGCTGGGATACTGTTTCCGACGATCACAGTTCTGACTCCTCTGAACGGACCCTGTGGCTCTGGGCCTGCAAGTGTGGCTGGTGGGATGGCCCTTTTCACGCGCTTCATCAGGCAGCGGCCACGGGGTCTTAGCCCCAAGTCTGGTGGTAGAGTTGTCAGGGCTGGAGGCATCTCTGCAATGATAGCCCAGGACGGTGACAACACGACACAGCTGCTCTTCACTCTCGGGGTCGCCTGACTGGTGCCTCCCTAGCAGTGGCTGCCGGAGACCGCTGCCGGGGTTCCGCGTCCAGAGCCTTGGAGCCACCCTGTCTTTCGCGATCCATGTGCTGGTGGATCCCTTTCGGAGAGCGCCGCCCAGGGGCAGGAGGCGGGTGTGTGCAGCCCGAGCACTTAGCTCTAGTGCAGTGGTCCTGTCGTGAGTGGGTTGATGCCATTTGGGAGGGGGTCTCTTCCCTCGGCCAGCTGTTGATTCAGCAGCCATGCTCTGTTGGTTGTGAAGTGATCACCTAATGGGATCCTTTTTTAGGTAGATCATAGCTAAAATCGTGCTTTGTGTGGACACCAATAAATGGCACAGTCACTCGTTGGCATGTTGAGTTCTTTGGTCGCAGGTGACAGAAAGCACAGCTACAGATAGTGCCAGCCTAGGAGGGACAGGGAGGCTTCGCCTGGCGAGAAGCCCCCGCTCCAGGCCCTCTGCCCGGGCCTCCAACCAGTGCTCCCAACCTGTGTCCCTCCCGCTTCCACTCTCCCCACAGTGGCTTTGTTCTCAGGTAGCTCCTCTGTGGTCAAGGGGTGCCTGGTGGGGCTGGATGGTATCTTCCCAGCCTTGCAGACCAACAATAAGATTGTGCTTTCACTGTGGTCCGGGAGCTGTAGCCTCTGGCCAGGCAGTCTGGGATCACGTGCCCCACCAAGCGGCAGGTGGAGACGGTCCCCCAAGGGAGGATCCTGGAGGAGGAGCATCCAGCAGATTCCTCCCTCTGACTGACAGCCACGCCCACTGATCCTGGGAGGAGGCCTTTGTTTTCCTAAAAGGTGAAAGGAATTCCCAAAGGAGCAGCGGCCTGGGCCGCACAGCCCGGCGCTCTCAGGCACGGGTGGGGCTGAGTTACCGGGACACAGACGCTGGCTCTGCCCTGGCCTCTGCACCACATCTGTCCCAGAGGGGTGCTTCCCTGCAGAGTGGCCCACAGCGCGCGCCTCTCCTGCTGGTGATTCAGTGCCTGGGCCCCCTTCTGGGTTACCCTCAGGATGCTCCACTTCTGTTGCCACCGTCTTGAGAGGCGCTGAGACAGGCCATGGTGTAGGTGGCAGCTCCGGGTGAAGGCGTCTTCAAGTCAGAAGACGCCTGGGAGAATTGTGACCACGGTCTGTGTGGAAACCCTCTGAAAGGAGGGTGTGGACTTTGGGTTTTAGTACGAATCAGCTGTGGCCTAGAATGGACCTTGTCGCTTGGCCTGGGGGATCCTGTCCAGGCCCCGGCTGTCCAGATACCTGGGTCACTGGGCAGGTGATTGGACTTTGAGTTCCTGTTCACTTAAGTTCTGTGATCGTGTCAGACTATCACTGGGGGAGGAGTTTCTCGTTGTCAGGGTTTTCTAAGGCCTGGGTTCAGAATGAGGCGTCTTACTAGTTTTTGGATCCAGAAAACGCAGAAGCAGATTTTTCGGCAAGGATTTTAGAAATTATTTTTTCCTTGTTATTAACAGTGTGTGTTCCAGAATCACTGACCTTCTGGAAACTGAGATAAACTCAAATGTCTTAGCGATTTCAAGATATTTCCAAACTCTTGCTGGGAAGCGATGTGTTTTGAGGCCCGGGCCCTGCTGTGCTGTGAGTGGCTGCAGCTGAGGGGAGGGAGGCCCCTCCAGGGTGCTTGGGGCCAGGCCGTCCCCACAGGGCAGGGAGTGCAGGGCACCAGGTAGGAGGCTGGCCTGAGGGAGGCAGGTAGCAGGCGCTCACGGGGGGCCTCCCGAGGGCGACGATGTGGGGTGGATGGGAAAGGGGCCTGGAAGCCCCACTGCTGGTGCCGTCCGAGCCAGCCCCCCGTGACCTGAGGGTGCCAGGAGGGCCGGAGCCGGCTGGCGTCTCCGGAGCCCTACCATCTCGAGCCATTATTGTGGGGTTGCCAATTTGGCTAGAAAGGAGCTCCTGGGTTCAGGCTGCTGTGTCTTCTGTTTCTGGTGGGGGCTGGATGGGGGGCTGGGTGGGGTGCTGGCAGCTGTAGGTGTTGGCTCTCAGCCTGGGCCTGAGGGTGTCCTTGCCGTCCCTGTGGCCCAGGCACCCTGCCCGTGCCTGTGCCACTGCCGTTGAGGTCACGAGCCATCTCGTTGTGGGTGAATGGGGCAGGAGGGTGTGGAACAGGCCGTCTCCTTGGGGCGCCAAGACCACCCCCTTGAACCAGTTCTCAAAGGACATGGTAGATGCAGAACAGGAGGGTGGAGGGCTGGAGGGGCTGCTCGGGGTCTGAAGGCTGGCCCGGCACAGGCCGCACTGCCGGCTGCATCCCCTGTGGGTGTGGTCGAGCTGTTCTGTCCTCAGAGGACTGTCTTAGACGAGAAGAGAAAAGAGAAGCCCCAGGAGGGCCTGAGGGGCTGGTCTGTTTGGCCGCAGGCCCTGGGCTCTGTGGGCCTCTTTGCTGCAGGGGTGGGGCAAGTAAGTTTCCACGGAGAGGAACCTGCATTACAGGAAGAGCAGAAAACGGTGTTATTACAGGGTGGGGGGTCGTGACCTGGCAGTGCTGCATCTGTCCCTCATGCAGTCCCCTGGGGGCCCTGAGACAGGACACGTGTCCTCTCCCAGGTGGCCGGGCTCACTCACCGCCCTGACCGCCCCCTCTTTTCTCTGGGTGCCTTGTCCTTGGTGTGGGGAGGCATGGCTACGCCTTCAGCTTGGTTGGTCTAACTGGTGTCTCTCCTTCCAGCTACAAGAAGACCCAGGAGACCCTCTCGCAGGCAGGACAGAAGACCTCAGCGGCCCTGTGCACCGTGGGCTCTGCCATCAGCCGGAAGCTTGGGGACGTGAGGTGAGGCTCCCTGGCCCGACACCTCCACCCTGAGACCTGGGACCAGCAGGGGCGGGTGTTTAGGGGGGTTAGATCCACTAGAGGGTCTGCAGGAAGGCTGCCTGAGCCTCCAGGCTCAGATGCACATGCCTCAGGGGCCCCTCACCACCCACAGGTGTGGCCACACCAGCCCCGGACCAGTTGGTTCACAAACTCTTGTTTACCGGCTACCTCTGCCATTTATTTGTATGTTTCTTGGGGTGAGGGGGGGCGGTCACTGGTGCCTGTGGGTAACTTTGGTTCTTAGGGTTGGTGGAGGCGACGCTTCTTGTTGAAGTTCCACGGAGAGAAAACGATTCGGCCTGGGGGCAGCGCCAGCCTGGGTGGCCCGCCAGCCTGGACAAGTCGAGGACAAGCGTGGTGTTTCTCGGGGTGTTTGCCAGGCCTGCCCTCAGAGAGCGTGCGGCTGCACGCTAGGGCCCCCGACTGAGCGTTCTGTCCCAGAAGTGGATGAGACCCTGGTGGCCACCCGAGTGCCTCTGGGGCCAGGGAGCGTGGGGGGCCCGGGCACTAGGTGGACCACACACAGCAGTGCCCACCCCCAGCCTGATGGCCACGCTGCTCCCAAGCCAGGCTTCATTCACCCTGAGTTTCCTGCTCTGGGCTTTGCTGCTGCCCCCGCAGGGCCTCCTTGGAGTCGGAGGCCAGGGTGTGACTCCTGGCCGAGCTCCCTCCTTGCTCTGCCCTCACGAGGGCCTCCCTCGGGGTTGTTGGGACTAATTGGAGAGAGACAGTGGGCAGTGCGGGTCATCCCCATCACCAGACCCCTGGACTTGGCCCCCCGGGTTCCACTGCCGGCCGTGCCCTGTCTCCTCATAGCCAAGAATCCTATGGAGTTGCTATGGGTCTGGCCTGCTGAGCATGGCATTGGGAGTCCCCCTGGCCCTGACCCCTCACCTCTCACCCTTGAGTGGGCTCCTTCTTGCCTGCTTAGGGTAAGCATTTCCCTGCCTCACAGCCTGTAGCTGCCTCGTGGGCCTCAAGATAGGAGCCCTGCCCTGGCCGATTGGCCACAGGCCCCCACAAGCCCCAGGCCCCACCCGGCTGAGCAGAGGACAGCTGGTGCCTGGAGCCGTGCTCACGTTTTATCCGTGTTTGTTTGACATCGTTACCCCTCTCCTCTCCCTGACCCCCCAGCTTTTTATTTTGAAAAACTTCAAACCTTCGGAGAAGCTCAACAGTCAGTAATAGGCAGTCTGTGCTTCAGGGGTGCACCCTCTACACTGGGGGTCCCCGCGGGCCACGCTCGGATGCAGCCCTTGCCCACCATGGCTGTGATTCGGGCACAAGAGGGACCCCCACCCCACCCCCAGGCGGTGGCTCTGCGCTGGCAGCAGGAGGGCCTGTGGCAGTTGCTCCCCAAGGCTTCGCGCTGCTCGGCTCACGCTTGACTCTGGGTGTGTTCCTGGATCAAGTCTCCCTTGACGCTCGATGGGATGCCTACTGTGACCACCTGAGCCAGGCTGGGGTAAGCCTGGCGACAGGCTGATCACACGCCCCTGGCAGCCAGGCCTCACTCGCAGGGCCCATCACAGAGCGAGGGGAGCGTCTGCTCGGGTCTGTGCTTTCCTGCAGAGGCTGGTCTGTTGACAGGGCATCTGAAGCAGGTGACAGAGGCCTGCTTCATCCTCTTCTGGGAACATTCTCTTTCATTTTGGGTGTCATGCGCTCACGTTCAGTATTCTCACTCACTTTCGAGCGTGTTCGGAGCACTCTGGGTGGAAAGCAGGCAAGAGGGCAGAGCCCCAGGCGCGTGTGGAAGCGGCTGCGGGTGAGCCTGCTGGGCAGTTCCTCACGTGAACGGCTTCGATCTGGGGGAACAGCGACACGGCCCATGCTCCATCTGCCCCCGCTGTCTGCTTAGAACCCAGAGTGGCCATGTCGCTACAGATCCTGTGCCCGCCGTGCGTGAGTCAGCCTGGCAGGGGAACCGGCGTGTGGTCACGGTGCCTGTTGGCTGGGGTCTCATTCTGGGGCCTTGAGTGCCTGCTGCTGGCTTTGCTCTCATGATTCCAGTGGTGCTGTGATCTCTGGGTCTCAGGGTCCTCGGTGTGTCCCCATCGCCTCACCGCGTGGTCTCAGGTGGTTTCTGAGGCCAAGGCCCATTTACGTCCGTGGTTTGGAGCTTCTCTAGAAGGAGAACCAGGCCCAGGGAGGTCTCCCTTGCATGTTCAGGGTCAGGTGCTGCTCATTCCTTCAGGACAGCAGCCCCACACTGGTGTCTCGAAGGGCCCGTCCACGAGTAGCCCGGGTAGAGAGGCCTTCTGCATCCCCGGGGCGGGGGGGAACTGGATTGGGGCCAAAGACCCAGTTAAAGCAGGGTCAGGCCTCCGTCCAGCTGGGTGACCTTCGATGGGAAACATGCCTCCTCTCACCATTGGGCTCGTTCTCCTGCCAAGCGGAGCAGGTCCTGCCGCCCACCAGAGCAGTGTGGGTACATCAGGCCATGTGACTGTCACTTCTGAAACGATCTCCACGTTGGGGTGGCCTTGTCCCCCTCCCCAACCCCCCGCCCCCCCGGGCAGCTGCCCTTGGACCTGCTCAGATTTGTCGGTCAGCTTCTGTCATCTGTGGTGATGGGGCCAGAGCATGAAGTTTTCAGCCCTGGGGGTGTTGCAGGCCCTGTCGCGGTGCAGGGGGCGCCCCGGGGGCCGAAGAGCACCTCACGCCCTTGCTCTGCTTGTTTCTTTGGGCTCCTTCTCTCCAGTCTGTGGCGTAGTCAGATGCGAGGGTCCCTCGTATGTGACCGCATCCGGGAGGGCGGGGCAGAGGCTGGGGAGGGGGCACGTGCCCTCCTCTGGCAGCGTGGCCGCCGGCGTCCCTGTGCTCTTCCGGAGCTCGAGCAGAGGGGCCGGGGCAGGACCAGGCGCCCCTCCTAACGCTGCATCTCTTCTCTCCTCCTGCCGCCGCTCTCAGGGCTCGGCCCTTCTCGCACACCTTTAGGTAAGACTGACGCTGGACACGCTGGGCACGGCTGGCCCCAGGGGAGGCTGTGCGGACGAAGGTGGGGGTGGGGCCAGCACAGCAAGGTGGTCACCAGCGGCGTGACGGGTTCAGGGCTCCTCCCGATTGTGCAGCCGGCTGGGTCCTGTCGCCGCCCGTTCTGACCCGGCCTCACCGAGTAGCTGTCGGCCCACCCCTGACTCTATTCCTGGAAGGGGCCCTGCTGGCCCTCGAGCCGTCGTGTCCCCATGTCCTCCTCCCCCAGAAGCGGTCCTGCCCCTCAGCGTGGAGCTGGTCTCCCCACAACCGAGCGCGCTCTGCCGCGGGGTGCTTGGGACCGGGTCAGACAGCCCCCGAGTGTCCTTCACCTCGTGCTGATCAAGCCGCTCCTCCGCCTTGGAGGTCTGGAGCCCGAATCCAGAACAGTCTGTGGCTTTAAATAGTCCTACTTGCCCTGCTGGTCTCGAGCTTGCTGTGAAGTCACGTGGGGACACCTGGCGGTTCTTGGCACCAGAAGTGTCTTTAGCACCCCAGGCTAAGGGCGTCTTAGTTTCCTTGTCCCAGCACCCTCCTCCGGCAGTGTCACCCTTCTGGGGCCATGCGAGGGGCACCGGGGTCTGGTTCTCCCCCACCCCGCCCCCCACCCAGGGCAGCCTTGCGGCGGCCCTGCTTCAGTGGCGCGGGGTGGGCGGGGCCGCAGCTTCCTGCACGGGGAGGCCGGTCCTGTCCTTGCCTTAACGCTCCTTCTCTGCTCCTACCACGCTCCCAAGCAGCAGCTACTCCATCCGCCACTCCATAAGTATGCCGGCCGTGAGGTAACGTGCCCCCGCACCCCACAGCTCCCTGAGCCTGCTGGGACCCCACTGGGAGGCCGGTGGGAGGGGGTGGCTCTGGCTGGTCCGTCTCACTCCCCAAACCCCTGAACCAAGGACCGCCTTCCGCCTCAGCGTCCTCTTGGCTCAAGGTTGGGAGACACCTCTTCGAGGCTGAACAGCTGGTGGGGGTGAAGCCCCAAACTGGGCTCCACCTGGAACTTTTCAGGGCTGCCCTCAGGGCCGGGCCGGAAGGGACAGAGAGGCTTGCACACGCCAAGAGGTCTCAGGTGTCTCCAGGATTTTTATGGTGGCTGTTTATATCCTGAGAACAGCCAGAGCCAAGGCCTGTTCCTCCTCGAAGTCCCCACCTGTGCTCGCTCCTGCTCTGTAGTGCAGCCGGGGTCCCCGCAGAGCTCTTGTCCCCGTCCCAGGAGAATCTGCTGCAGCTGCTGTCCCCCGAGCGTGCCAGGGGTCACTGACAGGCTGCCTCCAGAGGCCTGGGCTCAGGGAGCTGCGGAGCCAGGGAGGGGAATGGGGGCTGGGTGGGACCAGGCCCGGCCTGCTTTGTCCTCTGCCTCCTCGTCACTCTCTGCTCTCGGAATGCTCCTTGGTTTTCCTCTTGCTCGACTTCTGTGAGAGATCTGTGTGAAGAACACGTGGGACTTTCCATAACCCCAAGATGTGCATTTAGGGCGCAGCAGAAATGTGCCCGGCATCCCCCGGCTGCCTAGTCAAGGGGTCCGCAGTTTGCCCAGATGAAGTCTGGGGCTCACCAGCTGGTGGCATGCAGATCTTCTGTCCTGCAGTTGGGGGGTGTGGCTGACCTCGGTTCTGTCCTGGGGAAGCCTCCGAACATGTGTGCCCCCTCCCCCTTTTTTGGCTCGTCATGTTTTTCCAGTGAGACCTCGGGATCTCTCAGGAATCTCTCCAGAGGATGACCCTAACCCCGAGTTCCTTCAGGTTTAAGAGGGTGACAAAACAATGTGCTCCTTATACTGACATCTTTCTCTGTCTTTAAAGGAATTCTGCCACCTTCAAGTCATTTGAGGACCGAGTTGGGACCATAAAGGTAACTGGATCTGGACCGCCCAGTTCTGCCGGGGTGGGACACGTCACTAGTCGTTGTCGGTTCACGTGCAATTATGGGAAATGATACGGAGAGCTCTTATACCTTGTGCAGTTTCCGCCGGTGGTAACATCCTGCAGTGTCACAACCAGGACACATGGCCGTTACAGTCTCAACAGAGCACAGTTCTACCATCCCCACAAAGACTGCGGCCTGCTTACCCCCTGCTCTACACCCCTGGCAACCCCTAACCTGCTCTCCGTTTCTGTTGTGTCAAGAACGTCATGTAAATGCAGCCACGCAGCATGTAGTCTCTTGGGGATTGGCTCTTTTCACTGTGTAATTTCCTAGAGAGACATCCAGCCTGTTTCCCGTGTTGGTGATTTGTTTCTTGTATTGCTGAGCGGCGTCCACGTGACATAAACTCACGTAGGGATCGGACACCTTGAATTCCCAGCACGGGCCTAGGATCTGGTAGGCGTGCGTGCTGTCTCATGTTCTTCTTTCTTGGTCTTTTCCCATCTGTAGTCTAAGGTTGTCAGTGGCAGAGAGAATGGCAGTGACAGCCTTCCCTCCCCGACCGGGAGTGGAGACAGACCCCTGCCCGATCACACGCCCTTCTAAGCCCGTAGCGGCTTTGCCCGGCCACGGAACAAGCACACCGTCATCGCCACAACTGCAGCTTCGAGCGGCGGGTGTTGAGAACAATCACGCCATCCCCGTGGAGACGTGGTTGCCGCGCTCACATGGGTCAGAGAACATGTCTTGTACACAGACGCCTCCCCTTCTGTCGGCAGATCAGCAAATCACTGCGCCGTCCTGCCTCAGAGCAGGAAGCGGGCAGGGTGGCGGGTCCCAGGGTGTGAGCCAAAGCCAAGCTCCTGTTGGGAGTCTTGTTAGTTGATCAGCATGTTGAAAGCGGGGTGGGGGTGGGGGGAAGAGCGATAAGTATAAAATGTGTGGTGTTTTCTAAACTCCTTCCCTAAGTCGCAGAAGGAAGAGTCATCCAGAAAGCCCTGCCTGATCTGCCGTTTTATTTCAAAATGCCAAACAGGAAAACTACCCATTTTCTGAGACCTTCCAGAAAGCTGATTATCAGCAGATGCCTAATCATTACACTAATGATCTAGCTTTAAGAAAAGCAAATTCTTTATTTTTTAAAAGCAGTGGGGTTTTCAAAAAGTAAAGCTAAGCAAAGCAGCTTTAGCCTCACAGTTAGAAAATATTATTCCTTTGGACTCAAGCTGCAGTGCACGCCTTATATCGCCTTATGTTTTACTTGTTTATAATGTTCTTACATATATATAAACGAGGGTTCTTTAGTGGACTTTGAGTGCTGTGTAAAATCCTGCATCCAGCCGAGGGGCAGCACCTCTGTGCCAGTGGTGTGTTTTACTTCACGAGTGCATTCCATCCCCCTATAGAAAACTGGCTTCTCACTCCTCTCAGTGACCGGGGCAGCTCCCGCTGGCCGGTGGGGGTGGGAGAAAGAAAGACCAGCACCTTCACAGAGAGCTGGCGCTGCCCCTGTGCAAGCTGGGCCTGGCTGGCACATCACTGATCAGCGGCTCCAACCCGCGTGTGTGGCACACGCCCGGGCCAGCGAGCAACAGGCAGACCCTGCAGGTAGGTCAGGGCCAGGGCATCGGGTCAGCTGGGATTCTGCTGCTGCCTTTTCTCAGGAGCTACAAAGATCTCTTTCTGCTCCGATGCTGCCACAGCCCAGCAGCCTCTCACCCAGGGCTCCACATCTGGCGCACCTGGAGGGGCAGCTCTGTGCCTTACAGGCTCTTAGCGGGCAGAGACCTCGCCGGCATCTGTGCACTCTTGAAGGGAAGGAGCCGTCAGCTCAGTGTCTTCTCTGGTCGACTGTGATGTGCTGTCTGGTACCTGAGTGTCTGCTGGTCACTTCAGACACACTGGCGGGGTCGGGGGTGGCTGCAGTCCACACTCGTGCCTTGGGAGGAACGCTGCTCTGTGCTTTTTCCCCAGGGTTGGAATCTCTCAGATGGGGTGTGATGGGAAGGCGGGATGCAGGTGTAATAACTGATTTATCTTTTCCTTAAAGTAGATAATGGGTGATTTGTCAATAAAGCATTCCTTTGGGGGGAAACCCACTTAAGCTTGTGTGGTGTATCTTACTTCATTCAGGAAGGTGGCGAAAGAGTGGCAAAGTAACCGACAGGCAGGATCCCTGCACCCTAGGGAGAGGCAGACAGGAAATAGATGGTCTCAAATACAAATTCTAGATCTTCAGTGCCATGAGAGGGTGTGTTGATGACAAAGCTGTGGGGTCTCTCTGGGGAAGGGGTATGGAGCATGGGAAGGAGCCGGCCAGGTTACAGTCGAGTCTGGGCTGAGCTACTGGAGCTACTGGAGCCATGCAGGCGGGCACTGCAGCAAGAGGGTGTCCGGCCGGCCACTGAAGCGCTCGGGCCTGGCGTGAGAGCTGCTTGAGCTCCTGAGGTCGTCCGGCTGCAGCTGTAACAGCTGTGGTGCAGGAAGGGCACCCGTGTCTTCGGCTGGGTGGGCGGGTGGAGGGGCTCACTGAGGGGGGGGTGGGCCTTGGGAGGAAGAGGGTCCTGTTCCTTGGGCCAACAGTGTGCGGCCATCTTCCCGTCCTCATGGCCCCGCTCTGCTGGGGCACCACGTGAAGGTGCCGACCACGGGTAGACAAGTCCTGGAGGAATGAGGCAGGGGTGGGTGAGCTCAGGTGGTGCGGAGTGGGGAGCAGGGACCTGGGGGTGGAGTGCAGGGATGCTGTGGGGAGGACTTCTCTGCTAAGTGTCTTAAGGTCCTCTGTGTACAGGATTCAAAAGTCTATACTGGGTGTGAGTCCCGCTCAAATGCGCCTGTTCCCTGTACACCACCCACCTGCCCTCTACGATGACTCTTCACCCTCCCAATGCTGCTTTCTTCATGCAAAACCGAGCAACTACAAATGTGTATTCTCATTCCCTTCCCGTTCTTACTCAAAAGATGGCTTATAACTTCCTGCCCTCTGCTTTTCCTTCTTAAAGCTGTGCTCTGGAGTGCTAGCCGCACCACCCCCCAAAACTGTCCTGGGGAGAGCCTCGCTCTGCACTGCCCTGGTGCTTCACATGTGTCCATTCCTGCTGTATTGGGTGTGCCCAGTGGGAAGTCCCTTCACTGGGAGCATCGGACCTCCTTTGGGGTCAGAGGGCATGGCTCGCCTGAGATGCAAGAGCAGGGAAAGTTAATGACTTCAAACTGTGTGAGACACACGCCCCAGCCCAGCAGTGCAACACAGCATGCGGCGGCGCCAAGGGGAGAGAGCGCCGCCACTGCCCCCGGTCAGCATTTACTCTCGTTGACGACGGAAAGGGGTTCCATGTGGTCTTCACTTATTCAGTGGGGTACTGTGGGTAAGAGTTTGCTAGGCTCTTGTTCTAGGGAACAAGGATGACCCTGACACGGACCTAGCCCTCAGGTGTTCCCCCTAAATAACGGACCCGTGAGATGAGCTTTGAGAGCTTGAAGGACTGTAGCAAGTGGTGGGGCTGGCATTGGAGGGCAGCCATGGCACCTGCTTCCCTGAAGTCTCAGTTTCCTCTCAAGGTGAGGATAAGGGCACCCACCTGGCCCAACTGAAGGGCCTGCAAAGCACAGGGCCAGACTGCAGCCACTGTCCATATTTGACAGTATTCTTCCTCTTATTTTCTGCAAACAGTTTGGCTTGTTTGTTTATAGACATTTGTAATAATGTACTTCTCTCTCTCTCTCTTTTTTTTAACCGTTATATGCCCCTCTCACCGTTGTGGCCTCTCCCGTTGCAGAGCCCAGGCTCCGGAGGCGCAGGCTCAGCGGCCATGGCTCATGGGCCCAGCCGCTCCACGGCATGTGGGATCTTCCCGGACCGGGGCGCGACCCCGTGTCCCCTGCATCGGCAGGCGGACTCGCCACCAGGGAAGCCCTGTACTTCTAATATATATCGTGCATTTTGCTCATTTTACTTTCAGGAGCTATCACAAAAATTTTCAGTGCTATTAGGTAACCTTTGTATACATATTATAACTATATTTTTCCATTTGAATGTGCTTATTTGCACAGTTGTGCAGGTTTCCATCTTCACTATTATAAATAACAGCATCAAGAGCAGCTTGGTGCGTACAACTTCCTCTGCACTTGGGAACATTTTCTTAGAAAGAATGTCCCTCAAGTGGAGCTAGTAGGTCAAGGAGGGACTCACTAAGGCCTGCTTCGTTCATTCTCGCCCAACACAGCTTCATTCTGAGATTGGCACCGGCTTCACTTGGTTCTCTCATTCCTCCTGTGATTCTGGCCCGGGATCTTTAATCCTTTTGAATCAACAGACACAGACACTAATCTGGCCCTTCTGTTTCTTGGTTTTCGAAGGCCTTTTCGTGCCTGCTTGATGTTGCGCAATTTAATGGCTGCCAGGCGACTTCCTGAGCTCTCTGCCACTTACAGGCCCTGAGCCTCGGACAAACTGGGCAGTTCAAGGCCGGCATGATGGCAGAGAGGTGTAAGAGGGCAGAGGTAGACGGGGCTGGAGCTTGTTGGCAGAGTTTGGATTTTACTCAACGTGTTTAGGGAGCCTTGGATGTCATAAAGTTTCTGTGTTAAGAATATGACTCCGCTGAGTGGAAAATGGCCAGTGGACAAGCATGGAAGTGGGGAGGCTGGCCAGAAAATCTGTTGGATGGCTTCTAGGAAGAAAACTGGCACATACCGGTGTACCAGGCACAGAGCAGGCACTCAGTAAATGGTAGAACTGTTTCTGTCATAAGAAGTGATAGGGAAGGGTAACGAGCAGGTCTCCCCTCCCTCAGGGGGTCAGTGAGATGAGCAGTGGTCGTACCTGGACAGGGAGGGAAGTGAGTGGAAGTTGGTTCAACTGCCCTTTAAAGGCATTGTTTGTAGGTGGTTCTGGGAGGGCCCGGACAATGGCGGCGGCACTTCGGTGACTGGGCAGGAAGGCAGGAAGTCGCATCTCTGCGCTGCAAGGATGAGCAAACGTCAGTCCCAAACAGTGGCTCAGGGGCCACAGGCCTCCTGGTCATCTCCCACCAGCTCCCTCTCCCGTTCTTTGACGAGAACAATTATGCGTTCTCAATCTTACGTAAAGCGCGGGGCAAACTCAGCTGCAAGACAAGTCCCCGCACCTCTCCCTCAGGGCGGCTGGCCGCAGCACCTGCCGGCGCACCGGAGTGCACCTGACGCTCTGGTGAACAGGCCCCGCCCCCGCGCTGGGCCCCGCCCCTGCGGGGCGGTGGACGCTTCCGACTCCGCGGTGCGAGCTCCGCCCTCAGCTCCCGGGGCCCCGCCCGTGGGCTGTCACTCGGGGCTCCGCCCCACTAGTGGGCGGAGCCTTCGCCCAGCGCTTTGGGCGCACGCTCGGCCTGCGCCTCCCGCGGCCCCGACCCGCCGGCGCCCACGTCCTCCCGGGAGCGCGCGCGCCGGTGCGGGTGCGTGCGTGAGCGTGCGTGAGCGTGTGCCTGCCTCTGAGCATGTCAGGGTGCGTGCGTGAGCGTGTGGTCTGCCTGTGAGCGTGTGCCTGCTTCTGAGTGTGTCAGCGCGCGTTGAGGAGCGGGTTTCTAGTCACATTCACACAAAACCGAGAGCTGTTCTCGCAGGGAAGT